ACTGGGCAGACAGTAGAATGAAGGCAAAAAGTAGACAACCAATGGCAGAAAAATAGCATGGCAGAGAAGGTTGGCTATAATCACTAAACATGAATGCCCTCAATATACTAACCAAAAGAAACACATGCAGAGTGGATCAGGAGATAAGGTCCATTATGATGCTCTGTATAGGAAATATAATTCACCTGAAAAAGTTATTATGGACTGAAATTCAAAGATGAGAAAATAATGCTCTATGTGACAGGGAACCAGAAAAAAATGGGGGTAGCTTACCCAGCAGCTGCAGATAGGTTGGAAAGTCATGACAGTTTTATACAATGGAGAACTACTACGCTATAAGGAAGGAAAACCTTGAGGCTCTTGTAGGTAAAGGAATGCAACTTGAGATCAAGCTCAGAGGTAAAAAGGCTCAGAACCACTTAGGTAAATAGCGGACTGCCTCTCTAATCTAAAACTAAAGGAATGAGTGTGATACAAAATGTACAACCTGTGAAAGTGAAAGGGGAGAAATGTCTAAAAAGGAAAGGCAGAGGGCACTGTTAATCTTGTATCATGATTTGAAACCCACACTGTTCTCATGGCTCTGTTTAGTTTGTTTATATTCTGTTCCAGTCTGTCTACTTGTACTAGATTTAAAGGCACAGACAGCTATTCCAAAAATAGCAGGATATACTATGGTAACCATCCTTAATTTCCTATTAACTTAATCTGAAGCCCTGTATTACTTACACTGTCTTGTTATGACTGATTTTATTTGAATCTGGTTAGATCACTGTCTTATCTTGACTGATTTTATTCGAATTTGCTATGTTTGATAGTATTAAGTCTGAGAGTATAGGTAACTACTCTGAAGACAGAAAGATCCACTAGGATAACCCATTCTGATTTGACTATTAACCACTTTAGAAGTCCTACAATGTCTCAAATGCTTTATTTTTATTGATTTTCTTCTGTACTGCTAAGTTCAATTTTACTGTGCCTGATGATACAGGCAATTCTACTGAAGACAATAAGAGACATCATAGTAACCACTGTAGATCACCTTGTGTTGTAGTTTTAAATCATGTACTATGTCCATCCTTTTGTTTTGAATGACCCTATTTTCTTTTCTTTCTCATTTGGTTTTGTTTTTTTCAAAATAAAGTGCTCAATGATTGCAAAAAAAAAAAAAATTTAACTTTCTTACTTAAAAGAACACTAACCACCCACTGGTTATCAAATCCTTATAGGAAAAAGAAAAAAAAAAAAAAAAAAGACATCAGTGGGCCAGACAGTAAGGGAACATAAATAGGTATATTTGACAAAATAACAATAATAAAAGGGTATAGCTAAAAAGACTGAAGGCAAGTAGGAAGATTTAAATATCAAGGGCCTGTTTCTAGACACAATCTTTTTATGCTTATAATCAAGGACCCACATTCTAAGAAGGTACTCTTAATTTAATAAGATCTACTAATGAAAGGAAACTGGGAAGGTCAAAAATCTTGAATAATACAGGATTCAAAAGTATTTTGACAAGTTAATGAGAAAAAATGGATGGAATACAGTGAAATAAAATGAAGAAGTAAAGTTTAAAAATATTTTTAAAAAATTTGTGATTTTAATAACTTCACTGAGTTAGGAGAGTGATATGGTTACTCAAAAAGGCGATGTCATCTAAGGTCATACTAAAGTAGAAATTAAGATGAAGAGGATGAAGGAGTCACTGATCTAAAGCTCACTGAATTATATTTAGGATAAAGATTAAATACTGAGAATTATACATTAATGAGAACAAGAACAGATATAAAATATACTTGAATATAAAGAATAATGGTTGTAGATTTAAAAATCATGTCACATCAAGCAAGTCTTCAGTCTACATTTGAAAAGAAGACAAAGCACAGATATGGTGATATTCTTCAAAAATTTCGATTATTCTTGGGCAAAAGAGGGATTTACACTTTTTTTGCTACAACTTTGGAATAGCAGTAGATTCAACATATCAACTTTAAAAATGTAGTTTTTACAATGAAGATTTTTCTAACAGCAGGCTAAAAATAGACTGAAATAGAGTTACCATTCTAGTTATTTGTGTTTGTTTTCAGTAATGTTTTAGGGGGTAGTTAAAATTGGGTGACAGGTAACTGAGCAGTAAGTGCCTTTCCAATCCACAGATCACGACAAAAGGCACAAATAATACATTAAGAAGGCATAACCATTCCTTGATATTCAAAACCATCTACTTATGTTGGTTTAGTTACTAGAGTTACCTTACTCTAGGATACAAAAGCCGTAAAGGTAAACCAGCATTTCAGTCCTGTCTTCCCTTACTCTTTCAAACGAAAGAGCATTCTTCTGGATTAGATAGGATGTAATTGGGCATGGTGCATGCCTGTTACCCTAGTGCTTGGAAGGCTGAGGCAGGATTGTCATGACTTTGAGGTTAGCCTGGGTTACACAGTAAGTTAAAGGCCAGCCTGTATTACAGAGACTTTGTCTCAAAAAACCCCCCAAAAAACAAACAGTAGTAGATCGACATTCAATCAATTTAATAAAAAACTACCAAAATAATTCATGACTGATTATTCAGTGTCAAATGCTAGAACAAAACTTCACAGGCTTCACTATGAACTCATGAGTATAGTCTTTAGAAGTACACTGATTATTGTGAGATGTTACTTTACTTTGTAAACTTGATACAGAACGCATTAAGTTAAAACAAGGGGCTAGTTATAACATACAATGTGCCTTATCTTTGAGTGCCCACATTTGAAAATGTAAGCAAATTAGTACTAAGACACAAAATGCGAATCCCTTTAATTTTTTCAAAGAAGGAAATAAACATACTCTTTTGGTTCATGTGATTATTTAACAAAGAAACATTCTACATAATCGAAGACCAAGTAAAAATTATGGTTGCAAACTCTCAAATCATTTGGCTGCTTCATAAACTGTGTTGGAATTTGACTACCTATGTCAATCAGTCTTCTCTGCAGAAATTTTTCCTGGCTGTATGATTCAAATTATTCCAGTGGCTATGTCAGGTAAAGATCAAGGAAAAAAAAAAAAAAAAACAGTAAAGAAATGGGCAGGGACATCTGTTAGCAGATACAATGTGAGGCACATTTAAACAAGGAAACTGTGTATATAGTGTCTTTTAAAATAAAGTTTAAATCTCTAACAAAATAAAGGTTTTTCCTGCATTTACATAATGTACGAGTTTGACAAAATGGTATTTAGAAGTTAACAACAGAAAAAAGCTGCTAATCTTCTACTTAGGTCAGGCCAATTTTACTAGGCTAAGTTCAAACAGGGCATTAATACAAGGGAGAGGGTGCAGACTGACTTTAACTCCTGGCTCTGTCTCTCATCGCTACAAATGTGATAGAAAAGTTGTAGAGCTTTTGTTGTTTTATTGTGTTTTGGTTCTAGAGACAGAACCCATGGTCTCAACACTGAGCTACATCCCCAACCCATTTTAAATTTCTATTTTTTTGAGACAAAAATCACTGAGTTGTACAGGCTGCATTTGTTGTGATCATTCTATCTCAGCCTCCCAGACCACTGGGAACACAAAGATGTGTCACCACATCCAGCAAGACTAATACTTAAGCCTTCATTTTCTCATCCATAAAATAGGGAAAAGGAACAATAAAGATCCTACCTTTACCATAGGATCACTGTGAAGGTTAAATTAAACCATGAACATAAAAGCATTTTCCAAACTCTAAAAAAAAACATGATAAAACTAGATATTACTACTAATGTATCACATTCAACACTTTTAAAAGTTGAAAAGACCAGAAAGATATATATTTGATGCTAGAAATCAACCACACTGGTGCTAATCTATTAGGTATAAACTTAATATTTCAACTTTCAAATGTATTATCTTTATTAGTATTTTTAAATGATGATCTATTTTCCATCTCTTCAAGGTCTTGAGAACATTACTGTTAATCTGTGGATATCCATAAAGAAAGGGATGATAAAAATAAATTCTTGTGAGAACTAAGAAACAGCTAACACAGTACAACTATGAGAAAAGCATGGGGAAAATGTGAAGAAAAGTTCAAGGATGGGTTGGAAAACATTTGGTAGTTATCACAGTACCAGTGGAGCTCTGAAGGAAGTGGTTAACTCCGCTCCTTATGATCTTCATAACTGCTGTCACATAGTGAAATCACCCAGAGTTTACCATCCATAAACAAGAAAAGCAGCAGTAATTCATGGAAGGAGCAGAGAGTGGTAAATGTATGTCCCTTCCCATTGGAAATACTAATTTTGTATCATTTACTTTTCCATTTAAATACTCGGGGAAAGGTTAGAATGAAATCTGGGCACACGATCCAAAATAATCTCAAGAAATACATGTAGAAGACAACTGCGCTTTTTGTTCACAATACACATAATTTAAAATCTGAATATTGTTGCATATATAAGTGATTTTGGCTATCTACTTCTGAGAGAATACCTGAGTTTAACTGAGATCTTCAACTGCCTCAGTTCATGTAACAAAACACAGTATGAGACTGAATAGTAAACTGAGAAAGAGTACTAATGTCAGAGACAGAAGACCTTTGAGAATTCTAGCAATAATTTATTTTAAGGAAACCCACCTAAGTAGCCTGCTTTACTATCTATCCAATAAACCTTACTATCTATCAAATAAGCTTATTTTCAACAGAGGAACTACTCTTCAAAAGATATTAGGAAAGAATTATAGTTATCTATCATTCTAAGACTCTATAATCTTTTTTTTTCTCAGGTTGGTCTCAAACTTAAAATTTTCCTACCTCAGTCTCTGGAGAGCAATTATAGATGTGTTCCACAACACCTGACTTATAATCTTACAAATATATCTTCCCCAAAATAAAATAAAGGGTTTCAAGTGCCTCTGGTGAAATTTAATTAAACAGACCTTCTTTGGGCTAGTTGGAAATTAATTATAACTAAGCAACTTTAATTTTTGTAGTCTAATGATTCTTTCTTCTCCCCTCTCTCTCTAGAAAATTTACCTTTATCCTTATCCAATGGTTCCTGGGAAAGAATACTGCACAGTACCGGGTTTTTCCACACCCCAGTCTCTTGAGCTAGAGTAGCTAAAAAATGCAATTCACAGCTGCCATTCTCCATCAGCTTTTCATGAGCTACCTATAAATATTAAATAAACATCCAAAGAATTACAACAGATTTTTAAAGCAAGCTTATTAGGTTTTAAATATAAAACTAAATTTTTGAAAAATATTTTAATCTTTAAAATGTTATGTAAAATGCTGAGTTCCTTTTGATATTTAAAAATGAACCTCAAAGATAAAAACCAATTGTTAAATTTTAAGTAAGTACACTTATAGAAGTAAGTATGTAATTTTTTCAAAACTTGAACGAAAAATAGTTTCTCTGGGAATCCATCAGAATATCTACAAGATAAAAGACCTTTAATATTTGCATTTTCTAAGTGACAATTTACACAAATTCCAATAAAAGGAATTTATGAGAGGAAAATCAAATCTTTGATTTGTCATTTATTCATTACACAATCATCATAATTTCACATTATGAGTAATACTAAACCATGTTTACTTACTGTTTCTAAGTGCTTATGTAAATGGAATATTTTTCAGTTCATGAAAGACTGCAGTTTCTATTCAATTTAGAAAATGGTGAGAATTTCTATAAGTAAAGTACTAGTGCAGATAGTAATAGTTCCGGCTTTTATAGGGCTTATTTTCTACTAGGAAAATAAAGAAATGTTTAAATAGTTAAACATGGGGAAAATAAAGTTGCTAACTAGTTATAAGCTAACCCTGAAGAAACGCAAACAAGAAAGCAAACTGTTGCAGAAACTCCTAAAGCTGCACGTTATGTTTAAATAAAAATATTTCTCAAAGCCATAAAAATCTATTTTAACAAAGTTCAAGTACTTTAAGAAATTTTCTTTGAGCAGTGGCAAAACAGTCAGGGTCTTAAAAGTTATTTCCTGGTAGCAAGGTTGTAGCTGACTGGTAGAGACCTTGCCTACCATTCACAAGGTTGGGTTTGGTTTCCAGCACGGCCCCCCCAATTCTTTATTAACCTATATATAAAAAAGATATCAACTAGTGTTTTTGCCTCAAAAGTGAAAATTTAAAAGTTTGCTTTATGCTGGCAAACAACAGCAGTAGGTTGTGATGTATTACATTTGTGAATGAATGATATAAAAGCTCTGTAGTAACCATTTCAAAATAAACACTGGGAGCTAAACACATGTTACTACTATGCTAAACTAGAAATGGCAATATCAAAAAGTTAGTTGCAGTATGACAAGGCATTTTCATTTCAACAAATAGTTAATAAGCATCTACTATGGCGAAGACACTATGTGGAATCCATCATTGGATGTAAATTTTTAACATGTAATATTAAAATAGAAAAGCTGGATATCTCAGCTTAACTAGAGCTTATTTCACAAGATTCTAAAATTTAAGACTAATCCTCTTTAAAATATTTCTTAAAGGGAAACTTAAAGCCAGAAAATATTTTGCTGGCCTGAGAAATGTAGAAAGAGAACTACACAATTTGAAACTAGATAAATGTATTTTTTTACTATCCAGTTCATTGAAATTCACCTGAGCAAAAATATAGCCAGCATAACCTAGTGCTTGAGACAAAACTTAATATTCCAAAATAACTACATACTAAATTGTGTTGTAGAATAATAGCATTAAATAAAAGACAAAGCATGTGTTTTCAGATTTGGAGGAAAACCACGGACTTTGAATAAACAGCCCTGGTTCAAACAACTACTCTGTGACACTACTTACATGAACTGGAACAGGTAAGTATTTTAGACCATAAGTCTAAGTTTCCTCATCTTTAAAATGGGGAAAACAAACCTCACACAACAAATTTTCGCAACTGCTAAACAAGAATACATTAAATTGGCCAGGGATTTAGCTCAGTGGCAGAAGTGCCTGCTTGGCAAATGCAAGGTTGTCAGTTCAATCCTGGGTACCAAAAAAAAAAAGAATACATTAAATTCTTATGAAGGCTATTGCAGATTTTCAGCAATTAGTTAAGCTGTTTCTAAATCCAAATGGAAGCATTTTCTTGCATGTTTTAGAATATCTCAGAAAACAAATAACTACTTGTCAACAGCAACTTTTTAAATTTCACCAAAGACTTTGGTAAAGAATAGAAAAGACATACAATGAGAGCATTGATGAAACTTTGAAAACTTCTTTCTATAAAATACTTAGTATCTAAATCCAAATATGGCATGAAAGCTCAGTGCTAAAGTTGGATTTTTGTGTTTTATATTTGTTTTAATGTTCAAAATGCAGGCAACATATTTATTATTTGTCAACATGTTTTTACAAAATAAATCTTAAAAGTACTAAGCTTTGCTCATGTTCCTGTATTTTTCAAATCATAAGAAATCACTTGTTGTACATTAAATATTTCCTTAAGCTTCCCCCGGGTTCCCAACAAAACAAATGAAAGCATTTTCTCACCTTCCCTTATTGCTCTGGCAAAACTCTTAATTATCTGACTTTATAGAATTGCACAATAGTCAACAACTTATCTAAATATGTACATTCATTAAGCATCTAGTGTTAATGACAGCATCAGCTGATATTTATCATTACTTAGTTGTTTTAAAATTTAGCCAAAAAATTTTAATAAATAGTCTTACCTGTACCAATGTCTGAAATTGTTCCCATTGTTTATCTGATAACTCAACAGGCAGACACAACAAAAGTTCAACGCAGCTTCTACAAAATAAGAAGTTGATAAGAATAGCAAAAACTAAATTCAATGTAAAGTAAAATTATTTATTCTGTTATCGTAGATTCCATGTAACTAACCTATTTAAGATTCAATAATCATTATAACCTGAGACCCAAAGGTTAAAAACTCAGCTAAATATAGTTTATTCACTCAAAGGTCTACTCACAATGCCAAGCGTTCCAGAACCAATGCTACATTTTCACATTCAGAGGTAAGATAAGGTCGGGCTTTAACATAACTTTGGATAGCCACTGTGTATACCTCCAATAAAGGTAAGGGATCTTCTGAAGTTTTCCATTTCTCTGCATATTCAAGGAGTGTCTGTTTTGGAAGGAATAACAAAAAGTATTCAAAACGTAATCTAAATAACACATTGACTACTGAACTATTTCTCTCTGAGAAACTGAGAAATAACATTTTTAGCTTAAAACAAAAGACAGATAATTAAAATATTAAAGATCATTCATATTTCTATAGGAAAAAAGTATGTTGTTCATCCAGCAACACTATCATTTCATCAAGGTTAGTTTCAAACAGTGTGTTATATTGTTTCTCTCCTAAACAAAATGCCACTTTAAGATTTAAATGTCACAGAAGTCACAAGTAGTATTTGACCAGGAATGCAATAAACAAATTCATATTCCCTATTTTTTGTACAAGAAACAGAAATTTAAGTACCTAGAAATGAATTACATATGTTCAAATTGATTTTTTTTTTGGTCCAAAAATAACATCTCAAACTACTTCTTGACAAATTGTCACTTAAAAAGTTATCTAGTGAGACTCTCTGAAAACCAAAACAACAAAGTAAAATTAGCAAAAAAAGTTTATCTGAAGACTTCTAATGTATAAAATCTAACATAAGGAATGACTATAAGGTCTAATAATTTCTGTAATGAAGTCTTTTAAATTAAAAAACAGGATTGGGGATTTAGCTCAGCAGCATAAGCGCCTGATTGGCAAGTGCAAGGTCATGAGTTTCGTCCCTAGTACCAAAAAAACAAAAACAAAAACCCATGACCTTTCAATGAAGTAAATGTTTTCTAATTCACTTCATAAGAGTTGGTTAAAAAAATACACAACAAACAAAAAATTGCCTATCTCAGTTCTACTTAACACATAGAACTGAGAACCTGGCACTGAACACAGAAACAGAAGGATTCTACATCTGGTAAAATCATGAGTTGGTAAAAACTACCTAAAAATTAACTATAGTTATACTAAGTGGGACTAAATGTTTTCATAAGACAGACTACCACAAACAGTCCTTCATGTTCAAGGTTTAAGAAACTTTTAATGATATATGTGTGTGTGTGTGTGTGTGTATGTGTGTATGTATGTGCATATATATATATATATATATATATAAATTCAAGAGATCGTCTACATAAAAAAAATGTATCTTGAAGGGAAAATTAAAAATTTAAATCTCCATGAGAACTTGTATCTTCTGGTACAGAAAAGCAACTACTACTTTTTTAAGTGTGGAAGGAGGCAAAAAGATGGGAATTATCTAATACCAAACACTCAAAATAGCTTGTTCTTGACCCTCTCTCTGTCAATCCCAATCTTTTCCTTTTATTTCACCCTAAGAAAGGAGAGCAAATACTTACTACAAGCAAAGACAGAAAAGCTATAGCCACAATGTGGGATGGAGAGTGAGGTGAGTCAGGGAAATTCAACTAGGTCCAAACTCAACCCAAAAGCAAAATCTCAAGTAAAGTTGCTTAGATATTGTGGGGAGGGGAACCAAAATCTGTCCCAGATGAGCTTGGAAACCAATCTGTTTTCAGATCCATACTTTTATTTTACTTTGCAGAATTACTATATTCAAAACTGTCAAGGAATAATACATACTATTTACAGTAATTCTTCAATATATGAACAAGTTTCATTCCGGAAGAACATCTGTAAGTCAAAAATGTTTGCAAGTTTGACAAAGTGACTTCTTCATACCCTTGACACAAATAAACAATTTACAGTATTCTGCTCTGTGCTTCCTAGCAGTCCTCTCCACATCACCACTGCTTTTCCTCTTGCTCTGGATAACCTGGGCTCAGTAGTGGCCTACTGCACACACACTCACACAGTACAGTAAGCACACAGCAGTACAGCTATTACCAAATGCGGCAGACTTGTGAACTATTTTTGTGATTTGTTCACAGCTACGAATGTTTGTAATGCAAGGTCTACTCCTATCTGAGAAAATTTGAAACTCAAATGTTTATAAATTAGGGACATACTATACAGAATAAAAAGAAGCACCAATAGTAAGTTCCCTAGTTTTATGGAAATCTGAAGTACCCAGAAAACGGAAGGTTAAGCCTTCCCTAAACTGTTAATGAAGTAGGAATGGAAATATTGGGAGGAGAAAGGAGCAGTGTTTCTGTACAAAGTGCTCTCAAGACATCATTCTTTTTGGGGATGTGGGGCTTCTAAAACGTAATTATAAAAGAATGACATTGTAGCTCATCAATATAGACAATGAGCTGAGGTTGCCTGCCCATTTCTTAAAAGACAATTCAGCCTTCACTGTACATGTCACTGTTTTACATATTCTAAGCCACACTCTATGGAAGTCTTATTTTCTTCTAAATGTCTCTAAGATAAAGAATAATTTACATTTCTTATGAATCTGAAAAGGGTATACATTTCAATTTTTTGACCTGCTAGATTATTCGGATGACAGTGACAGAGAACTCCTGGAAGATAAAAGTATTCTTGCATGTGACTCTGGAGCAATTATGAAGTAGGATTACTTCTGCTGGAAACACCATGAACTAGAAAAAATATACAAGAAAATATGGAATTCAATTATGCAACCGTCCATTGAAGGGCATGTTATATTCACTATCAATCTTTGAAGCTAACAAGCATGGCACATTGATGATTAGTAAAACGGAAAATTTGGTTTCTGTCTTGAGTTCCTAGCAAAGAGCTCCTAAATATCTTGAAGCTGACTAATGAGTATCTTTCTTTTATGTTAATTAGATGACTTTTGGCTGAGGAGCACCTACATTTCAAGAGGGGGCTGATCACTAAAAAGACCTTGACACAATTAAGACGGCAACTTTCAGCCCTACTACATCAACTACTACAGAGTGTAAGGGGCTAGGGACTGAATTCTCTAATAATATGTGGTTCAATCAGTCATGCCTAATGAAAACTCCACTAAAACAAAACAACTTGGTTCAGAGAACTTCTGAACTGACAATCACACCCTTGTACCAGAAGAGTAGAATATCCCAACTCCACAGGAACTGGTTCTTATACCTAGAGGCCTCAGATTTTGTTTTACCTCTGGCTCTTCATCTGTATCTCACACACACACACACACACACACACACACAGAGAGACAATTTTTAATTGTTTTAGAGGCAGGGTCTGGCTATGTAGTCCAGGCTAGCCTCCAACTTGTCTTTCTGCCTTAACCTTTTCAGTACTGGGATTGTAGGTGCACATGACCACATCCAAACAATTAGCTATTAAATAAAGTGTAATAGTAACTTAAACATTTTTCTAAGTTATGTGACTCATTCCAGAAAATCATCAAACTAGAAGAAAGGGTTATGAACCACCAACTTTGCAGCCAAGTCTGAAAAAAGTATAGATAACTTAGGACCTGGTATTCTCAATTGAGGCTGCAGTAAGGATAGCTTGGAAAGTGAGCCCTTGAGCCTGTGACTTCTAATGTTAGTGAACTGTGGGAGTTCAAACTGAACTGTACAACACTGATTCGGTGTTGGGCTAGGAGAAATAGTATGCAAAAGATACTATGTACTTGGTATTAGGATAAAAAAAAAAACCCTGTCAATAGTCCGTAATAATATGAATTAACTGGGTGTGCCTATAGTAACATCTATTTGAGAAGTTGAGGCAAGAGGAGTGCTTGAGTCTAGAAGTTTGAGGGCAGCCTGAGCAACACAAGATCTTATCTTAAAATTAAATTATTAAATTTAACAAATTTTAAAAATATGAACTTAGAGGACAGGGGTGCAGCTCTGTGGTGGGATACACACTTAGAAGGTATGAGATCATGAGTTAAATCCTCAGCACCAAAACATCAATTTAAAAAATTTGTAATTAAAAAAATAAATTACTGACATTGCAGAGAGGACCCTGGCTGGATGGGCTGCTTTCTGTGATCTCTACAACCTACATCCTGTATAGAAAGGACTCTAGAGACCCTTAAACTGCACAATGAAATCTTTGAGAAATAGGACGTCCAGAAGAACATGGCAGATACATAACAGCAGCTACGGAGGCTCTCGGAGATAGCCAGCTTAGATTCCAGGAATGGTGTAGTGTGGGGAGTCCTAAGCAGGGGGAGATATACCCTGCCGACCCAGGAACAAATTAAGCTGAGAGAAACCAACTGGAAATGCAATCCAGCTGCCACGACTGGAAGAGCTAAAGTCTCAGTGCCGGAGCTGGAACCTGTGCCTCTGGAAACCGTGGCTTGAATTTCCTGCCGCCGCTGCTGCACCTGAATCAGCACGGCAGGGATATAGACTCGAAAGCTCTGAGAGTGGGAACTGGCGAACCCAATTGAGAGCAGAGATGGCGGGGATCCCTGCATCAACCTGTGGTGAGTGAAATGAACAGGGATCCTTCCATAGTCCAACAGAGGACATTCTGGGACCAGGCAGACTAGCCAGAACAGAACACTGCAGTTGACTTCAGTCACATATTCCCCTCTCAAGCGGAATTGGTGAAGAACACTTGACCTGGGTGACACTGGGGACTAAGACTCAGTAGGCTAGCCCAAATCAGGTCCCTGCACCTGGCAGTGCACCCTAATGCAGTGAAGCCTTCACAGGAGGTTGACTGACCTACAAGGGCAGGCCCAGCTTAGGCTGCCCAGGGCTGTGTCTCCCTAGTACACCGCAGTGGGCAAGA